AGAGTCAGAAGACTCGTCGACCGGGACGACCGACGGGAGGGGGGTGACGTGAGACACACCAGAGGGGGCCGGACGGGGGGGCGGGTGGGGGGGAGGGGCAGGGACCACCGGGGAAGGAGGGACCAGGAACAGGGGGGGAGTAACCGGGGGACCACGGTGGGGGAAGCGGCGGTAGAAGGAGACGGACTCGTCAAAGGTGACGTCGCGAGAGTGAAAGAAGCGGTGAGACGGCGGGTGGTAGAAGTGCCAGTCGGACGCGTCAAGGGGGAAACCGAGGAAGACGCAGGGGAGGGTGCGGGCAGTGAGCTTGTCCGTGCCAGAGGCACGGACGTGAGCAAGGCAGCCCCAGACGTGGAACGCAGACGCGTCACCAGGGGACCCGGTCCACAGAAGGGTCGGCGAAACCGGCGGCCGCTGGGGGTGCGGCCACAGGTTAAGCTGGTGAGCGGCGTAGCGCACGGCGAACGGCCACAGAAAATGGGGTGCACCGGCGTGGATCATGGAGGTGCGAGCCACCTCCATGACCAAACCGATGCGGCGCTCAGCGACCCCATTCTGCTGCGGGGAGTCCGGCAGGGTAAACGTCTGGGTGATGCCCTCCGCACGACAGAAGCGACCAAGGACACCTGAGGCAAACTCGCCACCCCGGTCGGAGTGGAGGCGCAAGGCAGGGAGACCGTGGTGGACACGAGCAGAGACAAGCCAGGGGATGAGAACGTCAGGCACGTCGGCCTTCCGCTCCAGGGGAAAGACGGTGGTGTAGCGCGTGAAGTCGTCGACAAGCACTAGGAAGAAGCGCTCGCGACGCGGCCCATGGACCGGTGCTGGGCCCCAGACGTCCATGTGCAGAGTCTGCAGCGGTGCGGTGGTAGGGGGAAACGAGGAGGAGTGAGGGGCACGGCGGAGCCGGCCCTCGACACAAGGCGTGCACAGGGGGGCGGGGGAGGAGGGAAACTCGGGGAACGAACCGGGGAGACCAAGGACGAGACCGTGCTGGGACATGTGACGCAGACGCGGGAGTGCAGGGTGACCAAGGCGGTGGTGCCAAAGGAGAGTCGGGTGAGTGAGGGACCGACAGGAGCACGCAGCAGCAACCTGGGTGGACGCAGCTACCTGGGGGGAAGACCCAGCCGGGGAGGTCGCGGTGTCAAGTGTGAACAGGCCGGACACCGGGTCCCGGGGGAAAGTGGTAAGGGGGGCACCAGTGGCGGCCTCGGTACAGACAGCATACCGCTCGTGACCGGGGAACGTAGTGGTGACGCCAAGGTCCTGGAGGCAGCCGACACCAACTAGGTTCCTGGAGAACGAGGGGATATGCAGACCTGTGAGCGAACCTGAAGGAACCGCCGGACAGGGAAGGGAGGTGGAACTGCAGGCAACGACGGGACCACCGGAGGGGTTAGCAAGAGTAACTGCAGCGGGAACAGGCAGCGGCGTCAGCGTCGTGGAGTCGCGGAAGAAACACCGGGAGGCGCCAGAGTCCAAGGTGAAGGAAAGCGCAGCAGTCGCGCGAGGCGGCAGTGAAGCGGTGGAAGCACCGAGGCTAAGCAAAGCAGGAGATCCTACGCCTGACGCAGCAGGGGAGTCTACGCTAGGCACATCTACACTAGGCAACACAGGGTAATAAGAGGGAAGCACACTAGAGTCATCAGCATACATCACATGCAAGGCTGCTACAATGGCATCCATGTCCAAGTCAAAAATCTGAATGCTACGCCTAAGCAAGCTGTGCCAGTCCGGGAGGTCGGGCGCCGGGCCAAAGCGCTGACGGAACAGGTCGTCCAGACGACAAAAACAGCGAGGAGTGGAATGACCGATCTTACCGCAAACGAAGCCGCGGCGAGGACCGGTCTGGATGTGGTACTGACAGCGCCCGCCTCCAGAACCACCACCCTGCGCACCACCACGCGCACGACCACCACCAGCTCCAGGCCACCCAGGCGGGAGAGCACTCGCCTGCCTCGTCTGCGGCGGCTGCTGCGGCTGCTGCGGAGGCTGCGGCTGCGGCGACTGCTGCTGCTGCGACTGTGGAGGCAGCGGGGCAGCTGGACTGGGCAGGGTCCCCACGTCCGCACCGGCACCGGACGACCCGACTCCACCACCACCCCCACCCGCACCCCCGCCGCCTCCGACGCTCCCAACCTTGGGGCGGCGGCCCTTCCCCGAGCGGGACTGCACTGCAGCAGCACTCTCAGCCACAGCGACAGAGCCGTCGGAGAAGGTACACTGAGCGGGGGCACAACCCTGAAAGATAGGGACCGGTACTGTACCGCTCGCCTGAGCGATGGAGCGGTGACGAGTCTCAACAAAGTCGGTGAGGGTGAGCGCAGCGGGGTGGATGCTAAGGAACTGGTCGCGGGCGGCGGCAAGGCGGTCAGGGAGGCGGGTGGCAAGGAGGTAGAGGGTAGAGGTCATGGGAGGCTGGTGGGCTCTAAGCTGTGCATCAGTGCAGGCAGCGCGCCAGGTCTCATCTATCGAGCGCAGGTGGGCAGCGAGGTCAGAGACAGTGGGGAAAGACGCAAGGTCAGGAAAGAGCAGGGGGAGGATCAAGCGACCCACTGAGGCAGCAGGAGGGGTAGAATAGCGCTTGATGACAGCATCGAGGTAGGCCTGGGCGGTAGTAATGGTTCTAAAGCGAGGGCGCTCAGGGGGGGGGAGGGCATTGCTAATGGCGAGCTGAGCAAGGGCATCGCGGGAAAGCCAGACAGAGCGGGCAAGGGCAGCGGCGGCAGTGGACTCGCGCTCAGCGGGCGTGGGATCAGCGGGCAGCACAGCAGGGGGGTCAGGGCAGGGGAGCATACCGTCTAGGTGGGCAGAAAGCGGGTGGCCGTCCTGCCGCTGACCAGTGAGGTGGCGGCGAAGGTCAGCCAACCACGCCTCGAACTCCAAAGGCTGACCCTCAGCATCAAAACGAAGCTCAGCAGCCATCAGGGGCAGTGTAGGACGGTGGAGTGCGGTGTAGTGCTGTGCAGTGCGGTGCAGGGCGGTGCAGTGCGGTGCAGTGCGGTCCAGTGCGGTGCAGTGCGGTCCAGTGCGGTGCAGTGCGATGCAGTGCGGTCCAGTGCGGTGCAGTGCGGTCCAGTGAGGTGCAATGCGATGCAAGGCGGGGCAGGGAAGTGCAGGAGGGTGCAAAGCGGTGCGGAGAACGGGGGACAGTACCAGGAAGTATGTAGGGCCGGGGCAGGCGCGACGGGACCGGGCAGGCGCGACGGGGCCGGGCAGGCGCGACGAGGGGCCAGGCAGACGCGGCGGGGCCGGGCGGCTGCGACGGGGCCAGGCGGCTGCGACGGGGCCGGGCGGCTGCGACGGGGCCGGGCGGCAGCGACGAGGCCGGGCGGCTGCGACGGGGCCGGGCAGGACACAGCAGGGCCGGGCGAGGGCGACGGGGCCGGGCGGGTGCGACAGGGGCCGGGCGGCTGCGACAGGGGCCGGGCGGGCGCCACGGGGCCGAGCAGGTGTGACGGGGCCCAGGAGGGGCTCGACGGGGCCCAGGAGGGGCACTACAGGGCCCTGGAGGGGCGCGACGGGGCCCAGGAGGGGCGCGACGGGGCCCAGGAGGGGCGCTACGGGGCCCAGGGAGGAGCGCGGCAGGGCCCAGGAGGGGCGCTAAGGGGGGGGGGGCCCAGGAGGGGCGCTAAGGGGGGGGGGGCCCAGGAGGGGCGCGACGGGGCCCAGGGAGGGGCGCGACGGGGGCCTGGGAGGGGCGCTACCAAGCCCAGGAGGGGCGCGACAAAGCCCAGAAGGGGCGCTACGAAGCCCTGGAAGGGGCGCGACGGGGCCTGGAGGGGCGCTACGAAGCCCTGGAAGGGGCGCGACGGGGCCTGGAAGGAGCGCGACGGGGCCTGAGAGGAGCACGACAGGGCCCAGGAGGGGCGCTAAGGGGCCCAGGAGGGGCGCGACGGGGCCCTAGAGGGGCGCTACAGAGCCCAGGAGGGGCGCGACGGGGGCCTGGAGGGGCGCTACGAGGCCCTGGAAGGGGGCGCGACGGGGCCTGGAGGGGCGCTATGACGCCCTGGAAGGGGCGCGACGAGGCCTGAGAGGAGCACAACGGGGCTAGGGGGGGAGTCGCGACTGGGCTCAGGAGGGGCGAGGCTAGGCTAGGAGACGCGACATGAGGAGCGGAAGCGGTAGGTGGGGGGGGGGGGGGGGGGGGGGGTCGAAACCTACGCGTGATACCATCTCAAAACTAGAATTGAATAATGATAGAGTTAGAGAGTACATGCACATATACCTAAATGTTGTACCCTCTAGGAGGTTACCCTATACAGTCTATACAAACATGATCAATATACATGTTTGACATTCTTGACTAGTCTTGTGGCTTCTCTTACAGTGGCCGGACTACCGTAATCCCCCGTATAAAGCACCCTATGGTGTTAATAAAAATGCAGCAAAAATTTGGGCTGGGTGTAATTAAAGGCCAAAAAAATAAAACACCCAGGAGTTATGGAATGTGCATATGGTTTTTATAATTGGAATTCAAGTGTGCATGTTTCACCACATTCATTTGAGTTAGATACCCACTTTTGGTCACCTCATTGCATACTGGACGATATTCCCGATCTGCATGCCACATTGGCAGTGAGCATGCAGTGTCAGGGAGGATGCTGTCAGAACAACCAATGAGCACACGTTTAATTTGGCGGGACGCGCGAAAGTCGAGTACAGTCTCAAACTTTCGGATTTGTATTCGTCGATTTTTTTTTCTTTCGGGCAGATTCGTCTCCTACCTAAGAGCGTAGCCTCTTCCCAGGGAACCTTCCCAGGCTCGCGAGCTACAGTGTCGCGAATTCTGACGCGAAATATTTTAGTGCTGTTCCATAAGGTGCAACGTCAGGTTCAGCCTGCCGAGATTCATGGGCATGTTTCAAAACCTTTGTTCAGGCGACATTGTTTCCGACACGCGGGAATCTGTACAGTAAATTTTCGGCGCGAGCAGTTTTTTTTTGCGATTGAGCCGCGGAACGACGCAACACGAAATTCTGTCATTTCCTGCTAGAAATGGAGATTCTAGTGGCAGGGGGGTGTTCAAATGTTTTCACGTCCGAGAGTAGGGTGTTGTGTATATCCAGAAAAATTAAACACCCATACCCGCTCAAGCTACCCGGGGGAGCTTAATTCCGGCGGGTGTTTTATACGGGGGATTACGGTAGTAGTGCTGCCCTGGTTTGCGCTTGTTGAGTTCGTACTTTTGTTGACTGGTCTTCGAACTCTCGTCTCAGAGGTTGGACTAGTAGTGCTGCCCTGAGTGCTTGTCGCTCGCCATGCACTGCCCCTTGTCCAGTCTAGGGGGTGTGTCAAACATATTTGTATATGTTACAGTAGACTAGATAGGGGCATGCCTAAGTGAGTACAACTCATTAGGTCAAAACCACCATGTACCCTGGTTTTCTAATCATTCTGCTACTCATAGATAACCCTCATCAGCCACACTCAACAACAGCTCGCCTCTATGAACCCAAAGGATCTTGGCCCTTGGGTTTCCTTGTGAAGCGAATTGGAAGGGTATTCATTCACCAGTCCATTCAGCACGAGGCTTGCTTGTGCTTTAGGTGAATTTACAGTACTCAAGCAGAACAAACACGGGGGAGGTGTGTGGGTCTACTGCGAGGAGTAGTAAGTGGATGGAGGAGAACTTTCGCTTTTGAAATGGGCAAGGCCATCCGCGATAAAAGGTGCGGGCCAACCTGCTCATAGACTTGCAGGGTTGGCATGGCCAATGGATTACAAGCAGCGGATAACATTCATCGGGAGACTGGAACACACATTACTCAACGTCAAGGAAGTCCATCTGCTTGCGCAACATTCCCTTCAGTTCTGACGCCTCCTTCTCCTCTTTTTGAGCCTGTAATAAAAGCAAAACCAGCTTAGTCCATGCAATCATTAACCCATTCACTTCAGAGTAAACATTTGCTCAGTCTCACGTACCTGCCGTATCTGGTTCAAAGAAACTGAGACCATATTAGGAGGCATTTCTGGCATGAGCTCATCCTGAAATTCAAACGCAAAAACTATTAGCGGAAAACACTCAAGAAGGCTACGAAACTCGTAGAGCGTTGTCTCCCCTGACTTACAAGTGTGCCTATGAGAACGACGTTCTCTCCCCTGATGATGTAAAGTCCCAGAGGCAGGTCGCAGTATTGCTCGCCGACAATAATCCGCTCCGTTGTACGCTCCAGCACGAGATTAGCTGATAACAGAAGCCAGCGACATCGATAAGCTTGGGGAACTGAACAATCTGTGACAAGTAACGACTGGGGAGCCACTTACCGAACTGATCAAACGAACGCAGGATACCGATTATTTTACGCCCATCCCTAAGAACGACGAGTAGCTTCTCTGCGAACGCACACGTGAAATTTGTCAATCGAATCTCGCTTAGGACAGAAATTGACCGGCCAACGCGAGCTGCTTACTGTCTAGCTCCTCAACAAGGCTCGACGTCCCAGGCAGAAATGGCAACCCAGCCCACGACATGCCCAGAAGTTGTCGCCGCTGCTGCGATCCGTGGCTGATTACTTCAGCCGCTACCTAAGTGAACGGCAACCATTGAGCGGAGGGGAGATTAGGAGGCACAGGGTGGGCGACACGGTTCGCGAGTGACGAACAGGGGGAGATCGCAGGAACCCTAGTTTCTGATTTCCTAAGTAAGTGTGTTATCGAGGATGCAGCTTCGGCAGAACAGGGGCCTGTACAGCTGATTCGAAATCCAAAGTGTAACGGCTTAAAAATATTAGTACGCTACAAACAGAATGCAATACAATACCACATGAGTGCATCGTTTACACATGGAAGTAGAGCTAAAATTCTATGGAAACCCAACAGATAAAAAGTGAATGAGGAAGGCACCATAGGCTACAACCATCAGAGCTACAATGTAGGATACCACAAGCTCGATTCCCCTAGACCCCGCCCTGAAATGCACCCACATGTTCATAGAGTTCCCAGGAGGCTCCATTTTAATCACAACACAATCATCACCACATGCACTTGCTGATGCCTGTAACCATGCCTGGACCGCAAATCTGGCAGCACAAACACGAGAGCCCCCACATACAGCAGCAGAGAGGGATGCAGCATATGACGCAGTTGCTGGTGAATGGCGATGCACGGCTCCTTTCATAATGGCCAAAGACGCTGGTGAAAAATCCCTGAAGACAGAAAATGTAGGTGAGGAGAGAAATTCACGAAAAATGCACAGCAAGGCAGAGGTCAAAGGCGCCTGCTTATCCCTGATGTACACCAAGCCCACAGAATCTTACCCAGGCATGGCCATGCCAGAAACAAAGGCAGCGACCAATGTGACTGACAGCAGCAGCACAACGACACACAGAAGCACCGGCTCACGAATCCAAATCGGAATCCCCCGAAATCTTGCGTTCACAGCCTGCAGTCCTGCTATGGGCACTGCCAGCACCGCCTGTGCTGCCCAGTGAAGCGAGGCGGCCACATGTAAGAATGCTATTTGACCGTCTGACGCGACGGAAGTCGTGCTTGCGTGAGGGGGTGATCTCCTGGGCGATAAGGATTGGGGTGCCTCGGAGCGGGATATGTGCATTGAGCTGGCCATGTTTCGCGGAATTGCGAGGGTCTTCCAGGACCCTAGAGCTCTGCGTTGGTAAGGCGGGTTCCGTGTTGGGAAATAAATAATAAATTGCTGCGCGAAACACCAGGACGAGGTCCAAACGTAGCCAACGGTATCCTTCTGCAGAATCGCGAAGGCGGAAACCTGAGAGGAGGGAGAGTTCGCGAATAGAGCGCGGGTGGTGGATCTCCTGCTACCTCTCACGTCACACCCTCTCGTTCCCAGGCCTGCGGCTTGAGTCCGCAAGTGAAAGGGAAATCTAAGCCCCTCAACTCGCACGATAGAGATGTGGGTGCAGCCAAGACCGTTTGTTCGGCCATTGTTCGACTCCCGGAATCGCCATACGCCGCCCTTGGCTGACGACACTCGCATGCGTCCATTGCGTTGCTGCACCCTCGAGCCAGAATACCTCACTACCGAAAATGACGCACGGCACTAGGACTCCAATTTGCGCGTACAAATGCTAGTCGAAGTGATGACTAGGATGACGACGAATGGTAGTGCTTCAGGCGCTACTGTACTGAGTTTGACTGGTTTAGGTTTGTGCTCGTGGTTGTGGTCCACCTTTCTGCTGACGCCATTCAAGACTAGAAAGGGATGACTCGGTATTGCGTACCTCGTATTTCGCCATACATTCTCACGCTTCTGTGTTCCATATATCAGTTGCTGCGTTCAAGATAACCATCCATAGAAAAACACCCAAGATTCCCGCAAGTTTCAGTTCAGACGCAGTCAGACGCTCTGACCAGTTTGAATATCCCGCCAAATTCCCGAACCAGTTCCCAAGGCCGAACATTGCCGTGCCTGCCACCACCCAAACCAAACCACAGAGGGGAATGCCAGGCTGCTGTCCTGGAGATACCAAAGCTCACTGCGACTCGCTCAAGGCTTGTGCACGCTGTACAAATTCAAAGAAATGAAATGGGTTCAGAATGGTCCGTCTGTTTCTGTGCGGCAATTTCAAGGTTCAGCGTCATCCACCATTCCCAAGAATTCCTGCTCGGTTTCTCCACCCTTGCTGGAGTTGTCAACTTATCAGTGACTACTCAAGATGCAGTAGAGCAGCCATAGACTGAGTAGTACTCTGGAAACAACACAACAGCGTGACTGGTATACTCTCGTTAGTTTTCCGGCTCCACCAATGATCAATCAGGTTTCAACTATGAGACTAGCGATCGCCTGACTAGGGAATTCGTAGTAGACAGTCGCGTAGCACCTCTGGTGCACAACAGTAGGAGCCAGATTTCCGAGGTTAAAGACGAACGGCCTAAGCTCTGTAGTGGTGTTGTGTAAGAAGTTTCTTAAACATGGAGTTTAAGATTCCGAAGAATCTAGAAGACCTTGAGCAGGACGGCGACGAGTCCTCAGGCTGTCTCCACGTCACGGATGTAGCAGACCCGGTGATCGAGCCCAACCTTGTCCGAGGTATCACTCTCCTGCCCTTTTCCGTATCACGGACACAGCAGACGCTGAGATCAGCAAACGTATCCCTTTATCGCCGATAATGTTTCCTTTCGCCGCTTACTTTTAGAATTGATTCATCCATGATAACTGGCTATCGGACATGGTCCTTATCCACTCGTGATACCGAACTGTCGGAAATGGTGCTCCGTCCGTGCAGAGATCTCGCGCGAGCTCGGAGAGAAGGATCTGTTCTGCGTGGAGGAGCAGGAGACCTTCAGCAAGATATACTCGGCTGTCAAGTGCGTCGCTTAGGCAGAGGGAAAGGAGATCATGATTGTTACTCTTCTTCTATCGTTTTGCTCCGTCCTTGGTTTCAACACGATAGACTCGGCTGTCAAGTGCGTCGCATGAAACGAAGAACCCAACCCAGCCATTACTATCTGCGTTTGTTTCTCAACGCCCGTTGCTTTCTGACTCTCTTTGTCTCAGCTCCCAGCTCGGCTCAGTCTATCAAGTCCGCGGTGAAACTCACCCGTTTCAGCGAGTTTCTCTGAGACTCGCTCACTATTATATCTTGCCTCTTTTTTCGTTTTCCCCGAAACCCGGAATTCACTGCAGGTGCTTTGACCAACTAGATGCTTCCTCGAAAGACCTTCTGATCGACTCCCTGGCAACGAATCTCAGCTGCCTCGTTCCATCCATCGCGGCATTCCTCGCGTCTTCCGGCAGCTCCTCCACGTCAGCGCCTGATGGCGACGTGTCCAAATCAGGGCCGTCGATCAGGGCCTACAAGAACTGCATCAAGGTCTACAGCTACTTCCTCTCATCTATCGTCAAGCATGCAGCAGTCGCCAAGGCAATGGAAAATGCCGACCGCCCTGCTCAGAAGGTACGTGGGGCTTGATTTGGAGACGTGATTTAAAGTCACTTCATTTCACTTTGTAGTGATGTTTGAACTTGTCTGTTAACCCACTAGAATCCGCGCTGAGCCTTGGGATTGCCGCACTGAATCGATTCCATTCCAACAACGATCCCACCTCATCTGCATCTGCTCCTCCTCGCTCTTCGTCCCTCGCTCGCCTCCGCAGGGGGGACGCCAGTCGCGGAAGAAGACAGTGGCATCGCACTCCTGGGAGTGGCAGCGCCAGATGCCCAAGGTGCTCAAGGCGCTCGCTACAGCCACATCCGTCAAGCTCACCTCTCTTTATCACGGCTCGGCACCCGAGGAGAGCCTTATGGAGACTTACTGCAGTCTGGCGTTCACGCTATTCGAGGACGCCGAATTGCTCAAAAACGGGGATGCGCGCGCGCCGCTCGTGCAGATGGTGGCGCAGTGCGCCGTGAAGCAGGGGTATCTGGTGCAGGTGGTATCCGGCCTGCTGCACCTGCTGCACCACCAGAAGCACTCCCCCGATATAGTCACGGAAGTGGTGGTGTACGCGGATGAGCAGCTGGGGCAGCCGGGTCTGGCGGCTGCAGTACTGCAGGACGTGGGGAGGACGGGGCTCAAGGAGTACAGCCGAACCAACAGTGGCGTGCACGAGGTGAGTTCCGTCCGTGTCAGGTATCCTGTGGCGCCTCAAAAGTGGTGACAGGGTGTGGGGAGGACGGGCCTGAAGGAGTGCAGCCGCACGAACAGTGGCGTGCACGAGGTGGGTCCGGTCGTGTTCGGATAAAAGGGCGTGGCTGAAGGAGTACAGCCGCACGAACGAGTAGGGGTGAGTGGACCCTAGACTCTCGAGACGACTTCCGTGCCCTGCTCTCCTTCCCTTCGCCGCCTCAAGCGCCTCGCATTCGCCTCAAGTCCTGTGCCATCACCACCTTCCACCAGCCATTACCTCCCAGCCCTCCAGCCGATAGTACCCGCTTCAACTTAACACCCCAACTCACCTGTCCATGTCTCACCACTGCACAGGTGGCCGAGTTCCTGATTGCCCTGGCGGACAAGCAGCCCCGCCTGCTAGCCGCCTCCCTGCCGCTGCTCATGCCGCACCTCGAGCACGGGGAGTCCGCGCCCCTCCGCTGCGCCATGGTCACCGCCATCAGCCGCCTCCTCGCGCGCCTCTACTCCGCCGACGCTGGCGCAGCGGCGGGCGGAGCGGGGTCTGCAGCAGGAGACCGGGGGGCCGTGGGGGAAGGCGCGGAGGGCGACGAGGATGAGGAGGGTGGAAGAGAGAGCGCGGGTGGCGCGGAGGAGGAGGGCCCCGCGGCAAGGAGGGCGATGCGCGCGCGGATGCAGCGGCTGCGGAGCAAGCAGGGGCTGCTGGCGGTGCTGATGGAGCGCGCGCGCGACCAGTCGGCGCACGTGCGCAGTAGGGTGATGCAGGCGTGGGGGTGGCTGTGCGGGGAGAAGGCCGTGCCCCTGGGGCACTGGAACGCCGTGGCGGAGCTGGCGGTGGGGCGGCTGGAGGACAAATCGTCGATGGTCCGGAAGAATGCGCTGCAGGTGAGAGTGAGGGGTGGGAATGGGGGGAGTCGCTTTGAGTCCGATTTGAATGGAGTCCGGTTCTAGCGCGGTGTGCTATTACGCGGTGGCGGAACTGGCGGTGGGGAGGCTGGAAGACAATTCGTCGATGGTTGAGAAGAACGCGGTGCTGATGAGTGAGATGAGTGTGGGGATGAGGGAATTGACAGTATTGAGTGAACTGAATGGCCTTCGAAGCGTTGGAAAGTGGGAATATGGGGTAGTTGTCCCTGAGGTGCTCCACCAGAACCTCTTCGCCCCTCACCTCCGCGTGGCCCCCGTCGACGTCACCCTAGAAAAGGCTCGTCTTGTTCATGGAATGCCTGCCCTCCACACCCCCAACCCCTCCACACTCCAACCCCTCCACACCCCAACCCCTCCACACCCCAACCCCTCACAACACAACAGCTCCTGGGCGAGATGCTTCATCAGAACCCCTTCGGGCCTCACCTCCGCGTGGCTCCCTTCGAGGTCACTCTGGAGAAGGCTCGCCTTGATCTCCAAGCCAAAGAGGAGAGCCGCCGCCAGGCCGAGGAGCAGGACGCAGGGGAGGGAGGGGAGGAAGGAGAGGGAGGGATGGGGGCAGAGGTTGAGGGAGGAGCAGCAGCGGAGGCTGTGACAGGTGAGGGGATGCCGGTTGGGTCGGAGGGGGTGTGTGACGATAGCTGGGTGGACTCCCAGGCGACCCAGGATGAAGGCCAGGCTGATGCTGCTGCTGCTGCAGGGTCGGATGAGCATTCAGCAGGGGCTGCAAAAGCAGGTGCAGCAGGGTCACCTTCTGCCCCAGCGGGCAGGGTGGTGTTGAGCCGCTCGTTTGGTCTGGAGCAGACGCGCACACTAGTAGCGTCCCTCTCAGCGGGGCTGCAGTTCGCCCGCCAGCTCACAGCCGTGACTGCCGCCCTGGCGGGGCTGCTGGCGTCGTCGGCGGTGTCGGACGTGGAGGGCGCGATTCTGCTGCTCACGGCGCTGCAGCACTTCAAAGTGGACGGCGCCGCTCAGAGGCTGAAGAAGATACTGCCGCTGGTGAGACAGAGACGGGGGGGGGAAAGGGGGGGTTCATTAGGAAAGGAGAAAGTGAATAGGATGTGGAAGGGGCGATTATGCTGCTCACGGCGCTGCGGCACTTCATAGTGGATGGCGCGGCTCAGAGGCTGAGTAAGATACTACTGCCGCTGGTGGGAGAGAGGATGGGGGTGGGGGTGGGGAGATGCTGGAGTAGGGAGAGGGAGGGAGGGGGAGTAGGGCATAGAAATGGAGGCAAGACTGTGTTGAACTTGGCTGGATCTTCCTCCCCCTTCATTCCTTCCTGCAATGCTCGAGCTGCACGTCAAGGGGCGCTCGTCATCAGAGGCAGCTTATAGCCTCCTGGCTCTCACCTCCTGCCCCTCCCGTCTCCTCGCCCTCCCGCATCCCTCTCAGGTATTCTCACACGACCCTGCAGTGCGGGCAGCAGTGGAGGCGGCAGTGCTCGAGCTGCACGTGAAGGGGCGCTCGTCAGCAGAGGCAGCTCGCAGCCTCGTGGCTCTCACGCACGGCGCGTCCTCTGGCGACCTGGCGGCGCTGGAAGTGCTGGTCAGCACGTTCGTGCACAACGGGGATATCACCATGAAGATGGTAAGACGCACACTGGAAGATGGTAAGCCACACACCTGGAGGTGGTAAACCACAGATGAATTTGGAAAGTCACACATGCGATACACAACGTTACCTCCTCTTAACCTTGCAACATCCACTGGCCCTAATTTCTGTGTGCACTGCTGGCCTTGACCCCCCTTGGCCCCTTCTCTCCCCGTTTCCCTTACCTCACCCTTACCACCCGCCAGGTGTCAATCCTTTGGGACATCTTCACTTTCAACCTGCCCGGAGCCACGTCAGCAGAGAGCACAGGCGCGCTCATCCTCCTCTCCATGGCGGCGAACTCCCGCCCGGAAATTCTCAACCACCATTTGGGCGCGCTCCTCGCTATAGGCCTAGGCAGGCGGGCTCAGAGCGACCCTCTCCTAGCTCTCTATACCTGTATCGCCCTGCAGAGGGTTTCTGGGGAAGTGAAGGAGGAGATGGGGGCGGGGCACAGGGTTTTTGCGCTGCTCGAGGGAGTTATTTTGGGCGGTTTGGTGGAGTTACCCGAAAGGGCGCGGTACGGGGTGATTGAGCAGGCCGTAAGGGCGGTATATGTGCTGCATCCGGCGCCTGAGAGGTACTGCGGCGTGCTGCTGAAGAAGCTTGTAAAGGGGATGTTTGGTCGGGGGGCTGTGGTGGCAGGTGGAAGGGAGAGTGGTGGGGGAGGAGGGGAGGGTGGAGGGAGGGAGAGTAGTGAAGCGAGTGGTGTTGTGGATGGTGGTGGGGAGGCTGGTAACGAGGACAAAGATGCTGCAGGAGGAACGAGTGGGGAGGATGGAGGTACACGCAGCAATGAGGAGGGCAAGGATTCAGCCGCTGATGTGCGTGCTGATGCTGATGCTGTGGGTGATGGTGCAAGTGGTGCTGATGGTGGTGCTGACAGTGCTGATGCTAGGGATTCTATCCCTGCTGATGCTCCAGGTGCTGCTGCTGCTGCTGCTGGTAGTGGGAGTGAGAGGAAGGTTGAGCTCTCCCTTAAGAGGATCGATGCTAAGAAACTCTCAACCTTCGTTTTTGTCACCGGGCAGGCGGCCCTAGAGCACCTGGTTCACGTTGAGAGGCTCGTGCGCCGCATTCGGGCAGCCCGGGCAGCGAAGGAAAAGGCAGCGGCTGAAGCAGCCGCCGAAGCTATGGAGGCCGGTCTGACTGGTATAAAAGCTAAGGCAAGCAGGAAAGGCACAAGCACAGGAGCAGGAAAGAGGAAAAGCGTTGCTGCGACCCCTGCAGCAGCCACAGGGTACGAGAGTGAAGAGGAGGAGGTGGAGGAGGTGGAGGGGGTGGGAGAGGGGAGTGTGGAGGTGAGGGGGGAGGAAGAGGGGGATAGGATGGGGCAGGAGCTGGGGACAGCAGTGACAGCGGACGCCCAGCTGGAAGCCCTTCAGGAGCAGGTGGAGGGGGAGATAGTGGCGATGGAGGGTGGGCTGGAGAGGAGGAGGAGCGAGGGGAGGGAGTGCCTGGTGGGGCGGATCGCTTGGCTTGTGTCGGCGCTGTGCCGGCGGCCCCAGGCGTTCGTGCAGAGCCAGGGCGTGTATGCGAGTGCGGTGCTCTCTCTGTCCAAGCTCATGGCCATCGACGCGCATTTCTGGTACATAGTGACTTGTGGGCTTGATAGCTTGTGTCGGTGCTGTGGCGGCTGGCCCAGGCGTTTGTGCAGAGCCAGGGCGTGCTGTCCTTGTCAAAGCTCATGGCAATCGACAGCCACTTCTGGTATAGCTCCCTCGTTGACTCACCTGGCCTACGGTTGTCACTTACACTCGCTTCTCCTTTTCTGTCTTATTTCCTGGTCGTGTTGCCTCAGTCCCTCCTCCCTCCCTTAGATCCCACACCCCCCTCCTCCCCTGCACAGTGAGTCCCACCTGCAGCTCGTTTGAGTCGACTCAAAAGTCACCTCGTTACTATGTCCACACCCTTCCTCCCTCCCTTTGATCCCGCACCCCCCTCCTCCCCCACACAGCGAGTCCCACCTGCAGCTCTTCTTCACGCTCCTCCGCACCCATCCGCACCCCTCTGTGCGCGCCAACGCCATGGTGGCTCTGGGAGACCTGGCCCTGCGCTGCCCCAACCTGCTGCAGCCGTGGACGCCCCACGCCTATGCCGTGCTGGGAGACTCCAACGCGTTTGTGAGGAGGCAGGCGCTCTTGGTCCTCTCGCATCTCATTCTGAACGACATGATGAAGGTATGCGAGATTGGAAGGTATGATAGGGTATTGGGCCGTGGCGAGGCGACCTCTTTCTGCGCTAGGGTAGGGTAGTTTGCTGGGGACGACCTGGCCCTGCGCTGTGCCAACCTGCTGCAGCCCTGGACGCCCCACGCCTATGCTGTTGTCGGAGACTCGAATGCATTTGTCAGGCGGCAGGTGCTCTTGGTCCTCTCGCACCTCATTCTGAACGACATGATGAAGATGGGCTGCTGGCCTTACGCTGTGTGACATTATGGTTTTGCCGTGCTGGGGGTGGGAACGCGTTTGTGCGGCACCAGGCGCTCTGCTGGTGCTTTCGCACCTCATTCTCAACAACATGACGAAGGTATGTCGCTGCTGGTCAGCCAGAGAAAATTGGGAGAAAGTTGGAAGTCTGGTACGGTATTGGGTTCTGGAGAACCTCACCCTGCGCGCGAATGCGTTTGTGAGGCAGCAGGCCTGCTGGTGCAGTCAGACCTTAACTTAACGACATGATGATAGTATAGTAGGGTTCCTCTCATCTCTCGTACCTCTCCCTCCCTCGTCTCGTTCCACCCCTTTCTCCCCCGCACGCCAGGTGAAGGGCCACATCAGCAGCATTCTGCCTGGGGGACTCAAATACACCCCCCACCCCACCCCTTGCTGGCCTCTTCCTCCCCATCTTTGCTCCTCTCCTCTATCTCACCTTCTTCTCCCTTTTCTCCTCCCCCGTGAGCCAGGTGAAGGGCCACATCAGCAACCTGGCCATCTGCCTGGAGGACCCTGAGCCCCGCATTGCTGACCTGGCACGACTCTTCTTCCACGAGCTCGCCAAGAAGGGTGAGCGAGTTTTGAGACGTCTCAAAACGACTCTCTTTTTCTTTCTCATTGCCCCACTTCCTCTCATCTTCTTCCACAAGCCCTTCAAGAAAGGCTAGAAGTTCTCTTTAGCTTATCATTGCCCCTCCTCTTCGTATGTTCCCCTGTACCTTCTCTCTCGTCCTTGGACTCCTACCCCTGCCCCCTCTCCCCTGCCCCCTCTCCCCTGCCCCCTCTCTCCTGCCCCCTCTCCCCTGCCCCCTCTCTCCTGCCCCCTCTCCCCTGCCCTCTCTCCCCTGCCCCTCTCCCCTGCCCCTCTCCCCTCCCCCCTCTCTCCTGCCCCTCTCCCCTGCCCCCTCTCCCCTGCCCCCTCTCCCCTTGCCCCTCTCCCCTGCCCCCTCTCCCCTGCCCCGTCTCCCCTTGCCCCCTCTCCCCTGCCCCTCTCCCCTGCCCCCTCTCCCCTGCCCCTCTCCCCTGCCCCCTCTCTCCTGCCCCTCTCCCCTGCCCCCTCTCCCCTGCCCCCTCTCCCCTTGCCCCTCTCCCCTGCCCCCTCTCCCCTGGCCCCTCTCCCCTTGCCCCTCTCCCCTGCCCCCTCTCCCCTGCCCCCTCTCCTCTGGCCGCTCTCCCCTGGCCGCTCTCCCCTGCTATATCTGCTTCGACCACCACTCCACCACCAGGTGAACATATGCCCTGGTATAGCTCCGTCGGTTGCCATCTCGTCTCCTCTCCTTTGATCTCATCCCTTCCCCGCCCCTTGCACATCACCGTCCCCCACAAACCCTCCTCCACCTGCTGGCTGCTCTCTCGACTCCGATCTTCTCGCAGACATGCTGAACCACATGGCAGGGAGTTCACAGCAGTCAGAGCAGTCCCTGCACGCCATCAAGCGCTTCCTCATGACGCTCGCCTTCTTCCTCCCCTCCCATGCTCTTGTTCCACGCTCCTCTCTCATGTACAACCTGCTTCCTGACATGCTGAGCCACATGGCAGCGGACGCCTGGCTCTCAGAGGCGTCTCTGCACGCCATCCTGCGCTTCCTCATGGCGTTCATTTACAAGGAGAAGCAGCGCGAGTGCATTATTGACAAGCTCCCCTAGCTCACTGCTCCTCCCCCCCCCCACCCCCCCCGGCTCCCCGTGTCTCCCCCGGTGTTGTTCCCCGCAGGCTCCGCTCTCGTGTACAATCTTCTACCGGACATGTTAAGTCACATGGCAGTGGACTCTCGGCTGTCTGAGGCGTCCCTCCACTCCATCCTGCGCTTCCTCATGGCGTTCATCGACAAGGAGAAGCAGCGCGAGGGGCTGATTGACAAGCTCTGCCACCGCTTCAAGAACGCCAAGCCTGCCTCCTCCACTGCTGCTGCCCCCGCCTTGGGTCCTGCAAATGTTGCTGACTCCCCCCCTCCTGATGCTGCTGCTGCTGCTGCTGCTGCTGCTGCTGGTGCTGCTGGTGCAACTGCTCCTGCTGATGATGCTACAGGTGCTGCTGTTGATGCTGCCGCCGTCGCTCCAAGTGGTGCCTCGGACGACAATGCATCGTCTGTCCTTACTGCCTCTGGAGATGGCAGCACCGCCACCAGCACCAGTGGTGCCACTGCGGTAGAGGCTACTGAAGCTACTGAAGCTTCCACTAACGAGGATAGGACTAGTGGAGCCGCCAGTGGAAGCAGCGGCAGGGATGGCAGGGTGCAGCAGCAGCGCATGCTGGCGTTCTGCCTCTCCCTGCTGCCCTGCTCGGAGCGCGGCGCCCGGCGGCTGATGGACAACTTCAAGGAGGTCAAGGACGCGCTGGGGGACGCTGCTGTGCTCGATTACCTCAAAACTGCAACTGGCAAGGTGAGCATTGTATGTTCTCCTCTTTCCAATGTTTCAGTAGGCGTCCCTAAGCCAGACAGCTGGTGGACAACTACAAGGGATGGCAAGGACTTACGTAGAGGAAGAGGCGCCTGCTTGTTGGCCTTCCTCCCTGGCATCTCTCTCACTGTTGTTCCTGTGCCGTTCCTGGTGTTGTTCCCTTCTCCCAGGCTAAGAAGTTTGCCAAGCCGGAGCTGAGGGAAGAGCTGGAGAAATTCGAAGAGCTGATGGCGAGGACCCACGAGGAGAAGAGGGAGGAGGAAGAGGCGTCCGCCTCTGCTGCTGCTGCCGTTGCTGCTCAGGCTGCTAAAGCGGTGGCCAAGTCTGCTGCTAGGATTGCTGCTAAGGAGTCTGCTAAGACTGCTGCTTCTGGGGATGCTGAGGATGGTGCTGGTGAAATTGGCAGTGAAGGTGGTGCTGGTGGTAGTGCTGCTGCTGCTGCTGCTGAGAGCGGGAGTTCTGGTGAAGACGCGCAGGAGGGAGAGGGGAAGGAAGACGATAGTGAGGAGGACGAGGAGGTGGAAGAGGTAGAGGAGGTGGAGGGGGTGGAAGAGGTAGAGGAGGTGGAGGGGGTGGAAGAGGTAGAGGAGGTGGAGGGGGTGGAAGAGGTAGAGGAGGTGGAGGGGGTGGAAGAGGTAGAGGAGGTGGAGGGGGTGGAAGAGGTAGAGGAGGTGGAGGGGGTGGAAGAGGTAGAGGAGGTGGAGGGGGTGGAAGAGGTAGAGGAGGTGGAGGGGGTGGAAGAGGTAGAGGAGGTGGAGGGGGTGGAAGAGGTAGAGGAGGTGGAGGGGGTGGAAGAGGAAAGCGCTGAGGAGGAGGATGCTGTAGGTATGGAGGGAGAGGTGGAGGAAGGAAGAGGGGAAAGTGTGAGGAGAAGCAGCCGTGGTGGCGGTGGGGGGAGGAGCAGCGTGGGTAGTAGGGAGGTTGTGATGGGAACAGGGAGTGCACACGGTGGGAGGAGGGAGGAGAGGGGGAAAAGGGGGAGTGGAAGCAGCAGGAGGAGGAACAGCAGGAATAGTGGGACGAGTGAGAGGGCTGGAGGGCATGGTGGGAGGACGAGGAGGATGGTTGCATGGAGTAGCAGTGACGAGGAGAGTGGGGAAGAGAGCGGGGAAAAGAGTGGAGAAGAGAGTGGAGAGGAGGAAGAGGAGGGCGATGTGGAGGAAAATGTGGAAGAGGAGGAGGAAGTGGAGGGGGAGGAGGTTCAGAGAAGAGGGGGAGGGGGGCGGGGAAGGAGTCAGGGGAGGGAAAGCGGGCTGAAGGAATCAGACGGAGAAGAGAGCGAGGAAAGTGATGGTGCTGAGGAGGGGGGGTACGGTGATGAGGCAGGGAGTGAGGGAGGAGAGGAGGGGGGAGAGACAGAGGACACGGATGTTAAGGAAGTTGGGGCAGAGGGGGAAGAGGGTGAAGAGGAGGAAGAGGAGGAAGAGGAGGAAGAGGAGGAAGAGGAGGAAGCGGAGGACGAGGGGGAGGTGGAAGAAGAGGAGGCGGAGGAAGAGGAACCTGTGTCAGGAAAGGGTCAGGCGTTTAGGGTTGACATGAGGCCTGTTGGGGAGAGGAAGCTTCCAGGCAGGCAGCCGGACAATGAGGGGAGGAATGGTGGGATTGAGAACGTGGTCCTGAGGCCGCTGGGCGAGAGGAAGGGGAGGGGGAGGAAGCAGAAGGGGGCAGTAGTGGACAGTGACAGTGACGGGGGTGACAATGATTGGGGGGATGTGATTGAAGAGGAGAGGAAGGTCATGAGGCGGATGAGAAACAGGAGGGCAGCTCTGCTGGGGAGTGAGAGTGAGAGTGAGGGGGAGATGGAGATGTGTGGGACGGAGCCACTTGGAAGGAAGAAGCCTGCCACTCCCAGGTAAGCGTAGAGTCTTCTCACAATCAGGGTTATGTGAAGCAAGCCATATGCTAAATACATTCACTCGATGGGTTTGCCCAGAGTCTCATTTGTGATGATTTTTTTGTGTGGATGCAGGAACCCATTGCACCCCATTGCCAACAAAAACTGCTAACTGGTGGATTTTCAGGTTGCAGCTGGTCGTGTAAGCCAGGAAAGGATATGAAGCAAACCAGGTGTATGATAAGAAACTCACACATTCAATTTTCTTAGCGCTTAAGAGATGGGATCCCTTCATCCGTAGATTAGTTGGTTTCAATACCTCGGCGATGTCTGAAACCTTAAGACTAGCTGTTCTGTCAGATATTTGGTAGCAATGGCATATTGCATAGGCTAGTTTCTATGGTATTTTGTCCATTTTGGAACACTAACGTGTCCATTTCAGCGTAGGGAGATTTTCCCCCCCTTCTATGCTGGTTTGAATGTTGTACGTTGTAGGGAGGCTCCTCTTCAGCGGTGAGAAATCCCAGCACGCGCCAGGGCCCCGACACGTGGTTCGTGACTGCTGTGCTGTCGGCTTCCAGGATTTGAATGCCCCACTCCATGGGCCCATCGAAAACTTCGCTGGCGCACAACCCTAGAGAAAGCCAGAAATTGAGATTGCCACGCCGAGCCGGCCAATCAGAAGACGGGAGCCCACATGCGTTGTCATATCTGCTCGGCCACGGCGCGCATGACATTTCCCCCGCGGCTCGTCACGTCGGATTTCACACCCCTCCCTTTTCGCCCTTGGGGTTGCTCGCACCAGCACCAGCTGGGCAGGTTAGAGGGGAAATATTCGCGACTACAAATCTCCCCCCCATTCGCATGCGTCTTCACAGACCAACTTCACTGTTCCGTACTTCCTTTGCTCGTCACACAGCGAGGAGCGAGCCACTGCTGCTAACTCCAGCAAGCCAGCAACAACTACCTTCTGCTTGCCGATCAAGCCTCCGACTTCAGCTGCTGTTTTCTCCGTTCCGTAAACGGCAACTATGGCGGCTCTCGCTTCGTCCCTGGCTGTGTCCTCGCGCGTGACGATGCCGTCCGCGGCGGTGATGGCGAGCAGCGGCAGGCTGAGCGCCGCGAGCTCGTTCGCTCCCAGCTTGAAGGCCAGCTTCGGGTGCGCCGCGCCCAGCAGCCGCGTGGTGATGGCGGCGGCGGCGGCCGGCAAGGACAAGCCCAGGGAAGGCTCCAAGGAGCCCGCGCAGGAGACGCTGCTCACGCCGCGCTTCTACACCACCGACTTCGACGAGATGGAAGCGGTGAGCCCCGACGTTGAAATGCGTTGATCGGTCTTCGCAAAGTATCCCATTCTCCCGGTTGATCTCCCGTTTGTTATCCCTCTCCTCGGTCGCGAATACGCACCGATCTGCATTGTTTCGCAGTGCACCTCCTCATTCCAGCACGCTTGCAAGTGAACTCACCATCCTTTCCTGGATTTTCCCGCACCTCTCCCCCTCCCCCCTCCTCCCCCCACCCCCTTCAGCTGTTCAACCGCGAGATCAACCCGTACGTGAACCAGGTGGAGTTCGACGCGTGTCTGGAGGAGTTCCGCGCGGACTACAACCAGACGCACTTCGTGCGCTCGCCCGAGTTCAAGGAGGCGGCCGACAAGATCCAGGGCCGCGCGCGGGAGATCTTCGTCGAGTTCCTCGAGCGCTCCTGCACCGCCGAGTTCTCGGGCTTCCTGCTCTACAAGGAGCTCGGTCGCCGCCTCAAGGTACTATCCCTGCCCCTCTAGCTATTACTGTACAATACTTACTGCTGCCGGAACAAGAAAGCAAGTTTGCAGGAAGCTTACTGGATCTGACGACCTGATCTGCTGCCTCACCCTCAACCCGCTCTCTCGTCATTCCCTTCCCCCCCTCCCTCCCCCCTTCCCTCCCCCGCGGCGGCGATCAGAAAACGAACCCGTGCATTGCGGAGATCTTCACGCTAATGTCGCGCGACGAGGCGCGGCACGCGGGGTTTCTGAACAAGGCGCTGTCGGACTTCAACCTGTCGCTGGACCTGGGATTCCTGACCAAGGCGCGCAAGTACACCTTCTTCAAGCCGCAGTACATCCTCTACGCCACCTTCCTCTCGGAGAAGATCGGCTACTGGCGCTACATCACCATCTGCCGCCACCTCAACGCCAACCCCGAGTTCGCGTGCTACCCGATCTTCGGCAAGTTCGAGAACTGGTGCCAGGACGAGAACCGGCACGGCGACTTCATCACTGCCATGCTCAAGTGCTACCCCAAGTTCCTCACCAGCTGGGACTCCAAGCTCTGGGCGCGCTTCTTCTGCCTCTCTGTCTACGTCACCATGTACCTCAACGACCACCAGCGCGCGGCGTTCTACAACAACCTGGGGCTGGACGTGAAGCAGTTCGACCTGCACGTGATCAAGGAGACCAACAAGACTTCGGCGCGCATCTTCCCCGCCGTGCTCGATACAGAGAACCCCGAGTTCGAGCGCAAGCTGGACCACCTGGTGCAGCTGCACCAGAGCATCATCGACGCCGACGCGTCCACGGCGCCGGATCTCGTGAAGCGGCTGCAGAAGCTGCCGCTGCAGGCGGCGTTTGTGGGTGAGCTGCTCGCCATGTACCTCATGACGCCCGTCGACTCGGGCTCCGTCGAGTTCGCCGACAACGAGCCTAGGATCGTCTACTAAATGAGGGGTGTTGCACCGTAGATTATCCTAGGGTCGTTCTGTGGTACAGCCAGCCGCTGCCTTTTTTGTAAAATTTTCTACTATCAATAAAATTGTATTCCTCCAATTGGTCTGTACCTGATTGCTGTAGGGCCTTTGTGCAAAAGGCAGAGTCCCAGGGGGGGGCAGCCCTGCTGAAAGGCAGGAGGTTCCAGCCTGTGCTGTGGGTGCGGTTGCTGCTGTGGCTACAGCTCCTGCTGACACGGCCCAAGGTGGCGATGGTTGGCTGCGGCTGTGGCTGTGGCGATGGTTGGCTGCTGCTGTGGCGATGGTTGGCTGCTGCTGTGGCTACAGCTCCTGCTGACACGGCCCAAGGTGGCGATGGTTGGCTGCGGCTGTGGCTGTGGCGATGGTTGGCTGCTGCTGTGGCTACAGCTCCTTCTGACACGGCCCAAGGTGGCGATGGTTGGCTGCGGCTGTGGCTGTGGCGATGGTTGGCTGCGGCTGTGGCTGTGGCGATGGTTGGCTGCTGCTGTGGCTACAGCTCCTGCTGACACGGCCCCAGGTGGCGATGGTTGGCTGCTGTTGTCGCTGCTGCTGCTGCTGGGAGGTGGCTCTTGCAGTTGCAGAGGTCGATGGAGAGGCAGAGGCGGAGGTATAGAAGCAGAGGAGCAGAAGGGGGCGATCCCAGATGGGGAGGTTGCGGGTTGAGTTGGACGCACAGATGCAAGAGGGGGGTGGAAGAGCATGAGGGGGTTAGAGGAGCGGAGGAGGAGGGAGAAGAGCAGGATTGGATTCAGCAGGAAGGCAGTCGCATAGAGCAGCCTGGGTGGGAATGCAGTCGCATGGAGCAGCCTGGGTGGGAAGGCAGTCGCATGGAGCAGCCTGGTTGGGAAGGCAGTCGCATGGAGCAGCCTGGGTGGGAAGGCAGTCGCATGGAGCAGCCAGGGTGGGAAGGCGGTCGCATGGAGCAGCCTGGGTGGGAAGGCAGTCGCATCGAGCAGCCTGGATGGGAAGGCAGACGCATGGAGCAGCCTGGGTGGGAAGGCAGTCGCATGGAGCAGCCTGGGTGGGAAGGCAGTCGCATGGAGCAGCCTGGGTGGGAAGGCAGTCGCATGGAGCAGCCTGGGTGGGAAGGCAGTCGCATGGAGCAGCCTGGGTGGGAATGTTGAAAGAGGACACGATTCTTTTGACCTCAGTTGCTTAATTCGACGTCACTAGACAGAGGATAGAGCTAGCTTTCCAACAAGCCAAAGATCTCGCCAACGGTTCGGAGACGGCCGAGATATGATTGGAAATAACTTAGACTATGAGGATGTTAGCAAACGAGAGCTCTCTGGAATTTCAAGAAGCTGTACCATGTACAAGCAGTTCCAGTATTCACTATGGTGACAAGCATACAAGCGCACAAATATATAACGACAAGAAAAAAACCGAACCGCGCGTGTACATTCGATTCGCGACATCTCGTGTCGCGAATTCGACGAGTGTAACAATTGGTACGGTGCAGTTTGGTGGCCGACTTCAGCGGATTTCTGTCCATGGGGTTGGATTCTGGTGCCTCCAAGTGGCACCCAACTGCGAGTTCAATGCCTCTCCAGCAGCCGCCCCCTCCACCCTCTCAGACACCCAATCCCAAAGGACCGAGAGACGGTGGGTTGGGGGCACGAAACCGCCCAACCAGCGGTTTCCTTCCAACAAAGGCTGTCGCATAGAGCAGCCAGGGTGGGAAGGCAGTCGCATGGAGCAGCCTGGGTGGGAAGGCAATCGCATGGAGCAGCCTGGATGGGAAGGCAATCGCATAGAGCAGCCTGGGTGGGAAGGTAGTTGCATAGAGAAGCCAAGGCAGGTTTACCTGCGCCGCCCGCCAGGCTTCACCGGCACCTTCGCCCGTGGGATCCAGTGGCTTCTCCGACGCCCGGTTTACGGCCTGCGGCAGGCGCCCCATGAGTGGCACGGCACGCTGCGTGCTACGTTAGCTGATCTGCAGTTCTCCCCGTCGTCTGCAGATCCTTCGCTCTTCATTCGTTCAGGCCAGACTCCGTTCTACATCGTTGTAGTAGCACAGCTCTCCTAGGTAAGTGCACGTGTGTCTCCTCAGCAGCTCGACCTTCACGGAGGCCAGTGCGTCTTTGTCTGCAGTAGCGAAGACCAGATCATTGACGTAGACAAGGATGTAGAACGGAGTCTGGCCTGAATGAACGAAGAGCGAAGGGTTAGCATAGGACGGGAAGAACTGAAGGTCAGCTAACATGGCATGCATCGTGTCATGCCACTTGCGCGACGACTGCCGCAGGCCGTAAAACGGGCGCCGGAGGAGCCACTGGGTCCCCGGGGCGAAGGTACCGGTGAACCCTGGCAGGCGACGCAGGTAGACCTGCTCGTGCAGACTGCCATAAAGAAACGCCGTGGAGAAGTCGAAGGAGTGCAGCTCGTAGTCACGGTGTGCTGCTACGTGTAGCAGTGCCTGAAGAGTAGTCATCTTCGGGGTCGGGGCGAAGGTCTAAAAGAACTGAACACTCTCGCGCTGACTGAAGCCTCTGGCAACGTAGCGCGCCTTGAACTTTGGCGGCTCTCCAGGAAAGCGCTTCATATTAAGAGCCACCGACCATCGACTATGTTCACTCCGAGTGGGGGAACTGCGTCGACGTAGGTACCGGTGGATCTCCAAGATGCCATCTCCGCATCCATGGCAGCTATCCACTGAGAGGCCCAGGGTCCTGAGGTCGCCTCAGCGTAAGTGCGCCGGGTCGGGATGGCTAAGGCGTCTGGGTCACCCTCAGGGACAAGCAGCATGGAGCAGAGAAGAGGCACAGCCTTAGACACCAAAGCAAGCTCGTTTTGCCGGTCCTCCAGGACGTCAATGCCAAGGCAGGAGCACCCTCGACGGACAGAGGACGGGCAGGGTCAGAGACCAGAGCGGTGGCGTAGTCAAGGCGGTGGGAAGAGGCAAAGTCAGTGATGGCAGCGACAAGGGCGTCAAGACTGGAGACAGGAACGGACGGGGGTGTAACGAGGGATGCAAGGACCGGAGGAAAAAAAGGACTAGCGGCACAGAGGAAGTCGGACAGGAAAGGCGGAGCGACAACCAACGACGTCGGAGGAGGCGACGGGAGGAGCGGAGGACAAAATGCGTGGGAACAAAGCAACATATGGTGAGAGCGCTGAATAGGAGAGACAGGACGAGCACGAGAGGGACGGCGAGACCAGAAGTGGGACGGAAGCATCGGGTCAGGAGACACAGGAGGAGAACGAGGGGGGAAACGAGCCGTAGATGAGTCTGGCGGAGAAAATACAGGGCCGAAGATAGGCGGGGGAGGCAAAGGCGGGCGGTTGGGGGAGGGAAGACCGAGGGGGCGAAGAGCAGACACAGGCGGCGACTGCTGCTGCTGCTGCGCCACACCGACACCAGAACCTACAGTTGCACCAACGCTCCCTCCGGGACGCTCCACGACAACACCCCCAGAAGTTGAACCCTCTCCAGCACCGGTGCAACCCCCAGGACCACCGAGAGGAGCCACGATAGTAACCCCAGTACTAGCACCCCCAGAACCAGCACCCCCAGAACGAGAACCCTCTCCAGCACCGGTGCCACCCCCAGGACCGTCGGCACAAGCCACGACAGTACCCCCAGGACTAGCACCCTTCTCAACGCCCAAACCCAAAAACTCGCGGACCCTTGCGGCGGCTGCTGCTGCGGTGGTAGCGTCGGCGGCTGCAGCTGCAGTTGCGACGGCGACTGCTGCGGCAGCGTCGGAGGAAGAGACATTGGGGCAAAGACAGGCGGCGAAACCGAGGCTGCGGGGCCCCTGGAGTCAGCCGACTCCTCCATCGGGACAACCGACAGGAGGGGAGTGACGTGAGATACACCAGATGGGGCAAGACATGGTGGAGCCGGCCCTTGACCTAGGGCGTGAACGGCGGCGCAGGTGAGGGAGGGAGAGCAGGAAGCGACGCAGGGAGACCGAAGACAAGACCGTAGTGGGACATGTGACGCAGACGTGGGAGGGTGGGGTGACCTAGGTGGTGGTGCCACATAAGTGACGAGTGAATGAGCGACCGACACGAGCAAGCTGCAGTGAGCTAGGTAGATGCTGGCACCTGGGGGGACGCCCTCTCCAGGGGGGACATAGTGTCGAGCGTAAACAAGCCAGAACAGGGTCTCGGGAGAACGTGGTCAGAGGGGCACTAGTGGCGGCCTCGGTACAGACCGCGTACCGCTCGTGTTCGGGGAACGTAGTGGTGACGCCGAGGTCCTGAAGACAGCCGACACCAACTCTGTTCGTGGAGAACGAGGGGATGTGCAAGCCAGTAAGAGAACCCGAGGGGACCGCCGGACAGGGAAGGGTGGTGGAGCTACGGGCAACTATCGGACCTGATGAGGGGTGAGCAAGCGCGACAGCAGCAGAGGCGGCAATCGCCATGAGCGCAGTGTGGTTGTGGAAGAAGCTGGCTGACGCTCCATAGTCGAGCGTAAAGGAGAACGAGGCAGTAGCGCCGGCCGGCGGAGGGGCTAGCGTGGAACCTAGGCTTAAAAAGGCTGGGGGTCCTACGCCTGACGCAGCAAGGGAGCCTAGAATACACTCAGGGCTGGCGGGCGCGGGGCCAGCGAGCACGAGGCGGGCGAGCACGGGGCTGGCAAGCACAGGGGGTCGGCGAGCGCGGGGCCAGCGAGCGTGGGGTCAGCGAGCGCGCGGGGCCAGCGAGGACGGGGCCAGCGGGTGCGAGGCTGGCGGGCGTGGGGCTGGCTAGCGCGGGGCCAGCAAGCGAGAGGCCGACGAGCACAGGGCTGGCGGGCGCGGGGCTGGCGAGCGTGGGGCCAGCGAGCGCGGGGCCAGGTGAGCGTGGGGCCCGGCGAGCGCGGGGCCAGCGAGGACGGGGCCAGCGGGCACGAGGCTGGCGGGCGCGGGGCTAGCGAGTAGGGGCCGGCAGGCGGCTGGCGGCTATGAGCTGCTAGCGGCTACGGTCGGCTGGCGGCTACGGGTGGCTGGCAGCTGCGGGCGACATGAGGCGACGGCCGGTCAGCGACGACTAGCGACGGGCGGCTAGGAACAGGCGGCTAGAAACGGGCGGCTAGGAACGGGCGGCTAGCGACGAGCGACTAGGGCTAGAACTAAAGC